CTCACTGAGTAGGCCAGGCTGGCCTTGAACACATGAGCAATTCTCATCCTCCTGCCTCTGCCTTCCTAATGCTTGTCCCCAGGCCTGACTTTAATTTCATATTTGAGAATACTTTAACCAATTTATTCCAAATATCACATGGACAATCTAGCATAAAACATTGTGTCTCAATAAGTCTGGCAAGCTTTTTGAGTAAGCTTGTGGTAGAAATTCTAAAGATGAGAAACAAGGCTGGAGAGAGGGCTCGGCGGTCGAGAGCACACCCTGCTCTTGTGGAGGACCTGAGCTCAGTCCCCAGCACCAGCGCTGGGCAGCTCACAACTGCCCATAGCTTCAGCTCCAGGGGATCAGGCGCCCTCTTCTGTCCTCCATCGGCGCCTGCGCTCCTGTGCACAGATCCACACACACATACACATGTATACGCACACAGGACTAAAATCTTAAGGAGAAAACTCTGCTAATGCTTTACCAGAGTGGGGTGTAAATACTATTGCATATTAGAATTGACAACGTAACAAGTTTAATGAAATGTAGCTTACATTTCTTTCTCTATCACCCCCTTTTGTGGTGATAAAGTATGCATAACATTAATGCTGGCTGTGGGGGTGCACCCCTTAGTCCATCTATCATCTCTCCCTCCCTCCCTCTCTCTCTCTCCCTCTCTCTCTCTCTCTCTCTCTTTCTCTCTCTCTCTTTCTCTGACATTAAATTTGCCACCATCATTGTTTTGAAACAGGGTTTTGCTATGTATGTCGCCCTGGCTGGCCCGGTTGGTACTCACAGCAATCCTCCTGCCTCAGCCTCCTGACCTTGGGTTTAGTTGTGTGTGAGGCCTGGCTCTAAACCATTTTTAAGTGTGCAGCATGGTACTGACACCAGCCACCAACCATCTCTAGAGTGTGTTCGTCTAGCAAAAGTGAAACTCTAAACCCATTAAGCAACTTTCTATTCCTGTCCAGATAATCACCGTCCTTCCTCTCTGCCAGTTTGATCTCTCTTAGTTCCTCACATAAATGGAGTCAGAAAGTATTTGATGTTTTTTGTGTGTGACTGGCTTATTTTGCTAAGCACACGACTTATTCTACATCCACATTCTAGCCTGTGCCCAAATTTCCTCCCTTGCTGACCACATAGTATTCCATTTTATGGCTATTCCACATGGACTCGTTCACCAGCCGGTGGGCATCTGCAGGCACTGGAGGTCCTTTCGCCTCTGATTGTGAAGAGTGGTGTTACAGACACGGGCATGAGTATTAGCTCCGAGACTTGGAGTTCTAATCATTTCTGTCTTCTGTGTCCCAGATTTAGGACTCTGCTATTTATCAGCTAGCACTTCATATTCTTTTTTTAAAAAATATTTCTTTGTATGTATACAATATTCTGTCTGTGTGTCTGCCTGCAGGCCAGAAGAGGGCACCAGACCTCATTACAGATGGTTGTGAGCCACCATGTGGTTGCTGGGAATTGAACTCAGGACCTTTGGAAGAGCAGGCAATGCTCTTAACCTCTGAGCCATCTCTCCAGCCCCCATATTATTTATTGTATTTCAAAATAAACAACCCCCGATTGACTCAAGACAGTTCCTCAGAAATTATTTCTTTATCAGTTGTTGCTTTCTTATAACTTCCTGTTCTTGCTCTATAATGTAAGATTAAGTTGTCACGTAGATTACTTACTATAAAGCCTTTTCTCTGTTTACTGCTAGTTTTTCCCCTTTTCCTTTCTAGATTGTTAACATTTGTGGGGTTCAGTGTGAGGTTCCAGTGTTGATCAAGTCAGGGTGGTTAGCGTTCCCATCATTTTGAACATGTAGCATCTTTGTGGACATTAGAAACCAGGCTCTGGCTATTTGAAGTATGTGGTGGAAACTGTTATACACTACAGAGCGCTACACCTTTGAGTCCTCTTCGTCTGCGTTTCTATCCCTTATCCATCTTCCTCCCCACTAATCCCGTTTTAAGAGATCATTCCTTCCTTTATCTTTGCTGTGGAACCCTCATATGTTAAGTTTTCATTAGTCCTCTTAGCTATTGTTAGTCTGCTTGGACTTCCATAATAGGAAAATAAATGCGTTTTTTTCCCTGTAGTTCTGGAGGCCGGAAGGCTAAGGCCATTGACAGGCATGGCTCTGCTGGTTATGGACAGCCACTTTCAGGGTCCTCATCAAGAAAGAAAGAAAGAAAGAAAGAAAGAAAGAAAGAAAGAAAGAAAGAAAGAAAGAAAGTTTTCTCTGTGTTTACAGTGGATCAAATTGGGTGTCTTGCAATGCTAAACAAATCTTCAGCACTGAGCCACAGGGGGCTCTGTCTTCCCTGAGACAGGGTTTCTCTCTGTGGCCCTTGACTGTCCAGGAACTTGTTCTGTAGACCAGGCTGGTCTTGAACTCACAGAGATCCATCTGTTTTTGCCTCCTGAGTTCTGGGATTAAATGTGTGTGCCACCACTGCCAGGCATACTGTCCTTTGCTATTACTTCATTTTCCTAAACTCCCTCCTAAGATACAGTCGTCGTCCGACCATCCTCACGCCGTCTCACTGTTCGTCCCTAAAAGAGGAAGTGTGAGTTTTGTTTAATTTGCAGAAAACAGCATGTTTTTTTTAAATGAAAAGAAAAATAATTTATTTATAGATTTTTTGTCTGCATGTTTATTGTGCACCCCTGTGTGCAGTGCCCGAGGAGGACAGGAGAGCTTGTCAGGGCACTGGAGCTGCAGACAGTTGTGAGTCACCGTTAGGGTGCTGGGGGAATCGAACCTGGGTCCTCTGGAGGAGCAGCCAGAGCCGGCTCTCCATCTTTCGTAAAGTATTGTAGGAGCTGGCCTGGGTGATGAAGGCTAACAGTTTTCATAAAGATATTCTGGCAAAAAAAGACCCCCTCCCCGTTACAAGATGCCTATGGATTCTGGATCCACGACTCAGTGCATTCTTCCTTTTCTGTCCCCTTCCTACCCATAAAAAGTCATGTCATAGGCCTGAGTTCTTTAAGATGTGTCTCATAGACAGTGCCTCTTCCCAGCACCCAGGATGCCAGCCTTTGGATAAAAACTAGTTCCTTTTTTCTAGTTCTCGTGCCCCGAGTACTGGCTTCTGAAGAGTAGTCAGAACCTGATCCAGTACTACAGCTACGTGAGATAAATCAACCGCTTTATCTAGGCTCGTGCTTCTAGAGGTTGCCATTCATGATAAATTCGCTGTATTGATTTGGACCCGGGGTGGCACGGCACGTTCTGACAGAGGACATGGGAGGAGCAACGCGCTTGGCTCCTGACCGGAGGAGGGGAGAGGAAGGAACTGAGATTTCAGTCTCCTGTGAAGTCTCCTCCTGCAAACACAAAAGACCTCCCAGCAGGCTCCATTCTCATAACTTCCTTGTATTCTAATAGTGATATAGTCTGGGGACCAAGCCTTTAACACACGAGTTTTGGGGGGACAATTGAGATCCAAACTATAGTATCTGCCACCTGGACCAAGTCACTTAATCTTTCTTCCAGTGACAAATGTATTGACCACTAGGATGTTTGTTGTGAGGGTTAAATGAGAAAATACCTATAGATCATATATGTCTCTGTGGTGTATGCTGGCCTGTGCCAGTGTGTGTGGAGGCTGGAGGTGGATTTTTAATATCTTCCTTTATTACTCTCTATCCTATTCTTTAAAACGGTGTCTCTGAACCTGCGGTTTGTTGTTTTGGCTACACTGGTCCCGTGGATCTGCTTGTCTCTTTCCTTTCCCCGTTGTGCCGGCATCATAGGCATGTGTCGGCATCGTAGGCTTGTGTTCGGCATCATAGGCGTGTGCCCACATCATACGTGTGTGTCGGCATCATAGGTGTGTGTCGGCATCATAGGCATGTGCCCACATCATAGGTGTGTGTCGGCATCATAGGCATGTGCCCACATCATACGTGTGTGTCGGCATCATACGTGTGTGTCGGCTTCATAGGCATGTGCTGCCATGCCTGGGGATTCAAGCTCAAAGCCTCATGCTTCTGAAGCAAGCACTTCACCCACTGAGTCATCTTCCCAGCCTTTAGAGATAACGTGTAACCCTATCAGGGCACGAGGACAGATGTTTGTGTTCCTGGACTCAGCGTGGTGCCAGGGTCCATCTTTTGAGGAACTTCCCTGCTCGAGTGAAGACCCACAGCTGAGCAATGTGTGCAGAGGGGGAATCTTTGGAGCACTCAGTCCTAAGTGGAGTGTCGTCATCAAACCTCTGCCCATTAAGAGGTGGACGCTGGGTCTCATTCCTAACCAAGAAGCTATTTGCAATTGATACTCACTAGCAAAGGGAAAAATCCGTTTCTTCTAATCGAGTGTCATTAGGTATACCAACCACACCCCACCAGACCCTGCAGTATTTGACCAACACAAAATGAACTTTGTGGTGTTTTTTCTGTTTTTTTTTTTTTTTCCTTCCTTGTTGGTCTTTTGTTTGTTTGCTTTGACTTTTATTTTTGTTTTGTTTTGTTTTGAGAGGGGGGAACATAGAGTTGGGTGGGTGGGGGATGAGGAGGATCTGGGAGGGGCTGGGGAGGGAGAAAAGGAGTGTGTGTGTGTGTGTGTGTGTGTGTGAGTCAGGCCAGAGCTGGGGGCCTGGTGCTGAGCGCATAGGAAGCTGTGGCCGGGTGCCAGAGACACAGGCTCAGATTGGGCAAGAACAGGGAACTGATCTGCAGGTCACTCTGATCCAGGCCAGAGATATTTGAAGACATCAACAGTTCTGGAAAATGAAGAGGCAGGAAGTGAAACAGGGGAGGGCTGGAGAGGAAACAGCAAACTGTATCCTAGCCCTTCCACACCTGGCTCCCCTTCCTACACTGTGCAATGAGGGGCGTGTGTGTGCACGTGTGTGTGTGTTTACAAGGGGACCTCCTTTCTCCAGTTGTGTGAACAGAAACATGTCCTCCACCCCCACTGCTCATGGCCCACGTTTCCAACTGTGCTTCTATTTCTATTTGCTGTCCAAAGTCCTAGGGGGCAGGAGATGACAGATTAGGTGGACTTAGACACTCAGACACAGGGACCCGGCTCTCGCCTAGACCAGCCCCCTTCTCCTCTCTCATCAAGCACCACCTGTCCAGTTCTCCCAGGTTTAACCCCTCACTCCTTCTGCGTGGGCTGCCTTTGGAAGTCAGAGTCGGCTCGCTATACTTTAACAGGTAACAGGTGGTGGGGAGACATGTGGGACTGTGGATGTCTAGGGCTAAAAAAAACAAAAAGTGGTTCAAGGTCACTGGGGGAGGAATGGGAACCTGTTTTATAGTTTGGTCCACGAGAGTATGATAGGAAGACTCCTGGCTGCACCAAGGGACAGACCGCCTCCTGGGAAGAGATGGGACCCTGCAGAATTTCAAGCCCTTTCCCAAGCTAATCTCCAACTCTGAACCACTCCCCTTGACCTTCTCGGGTCCCAGCATCCCTCCACAGGAACTTGCCTCTTAGCACAAACCCACGTTCCAGTCCTAAGAAAACCACAGCTCAGCTCCAGCCCTCGGGCCCACTATGGAGAAGGACTTTCAAGACATCCAGCAGCTGGACTCCGAGGAAAATGACCATCAGCCCAGTGGCGACGAGGAGCAAGGCACCCACGGGCAGAATCCTAGGACAGAAAATCCATTTTGGAAAGGCAAGTGTCCAGTTTCTGGGGCCTTACCTAGATCCCCGCCTCAGTTGCCAGCTTCTCTGTCTCACATTGACTCAGCGGGCTGGGTGTACGTTTGTCAGAGTCAGGGTAACTATTGCTGTGATAAAAACGCCATGACCGAAAGCAGCTCAGAGAGGAAGGGGTTTATATATAAAACACCATGACTAAAAGCACTCGGAGAGGAAGGGGTTTATATATAAAACACCGTGACTAAAAGCACTCGGAGAAGAAGGGGTTTATCTGGCTTATGATTTCACACCACTGTTCATCACTGAAGAGAGTCAGGACAGAAACTCAAGCAGGGCAAGAACCTGGAGGCAGGAGCTTATGCAGAGGCCATGGAGGGATGCTGCTTCCTGGCTTGTTCCTCATGGCTTACTCAGCCTGCTTTCTTATAGAACCCAGGACCATAAGTCAAGGGTAGCCCCACCTACCATGGGCTGGGCCCTCTTGCTTCAATTAAGAAAATGCCCTACAGGCTTGCCTACAGTGCTGTCTTCTGAAGTCGTTTTCTCAGTGGAGGCTCCCTCCTCTCTGATGACTCCAGATTGTGTCTTTGATGTAAAAGTAGCCAGCACAGCAGCAGTGTCCCTGTACCTGTGAGCTGCTGACCCCTCTGAGCGCAGGTCCCAGGGATAGGGTGTGTGCCTAGTAGTGAGAGAAGGCCCGCAGCTGGAGATGAACCCGCCCTCCATAGTGCGCGTGTGCACACACATATTTACGCCTAGGAGGAACAGGGAACCCAGAACCGGGGGTGTGGGGATGAAATGGGCACGGGGAGGTCCCCACTAGTTTCCTGCCTGAATCCTCTGCTTGCGCATTTGACACGGGCCCTGCCCTTGGTCGGGAAAAGTTTTTAGCCTGGCCACCCACGTGTTTCAGACTCTGCATTTTTCATCTCAGAGGGAACCTGGGATTTTTGTTATTATGAGACAGGCTCTCACTTTGTAGCCCAGGCTGACGTGGAGCTCACTGTGTAGCCCAGGCTAGCCTTAAACTCTCAGTAGTCCCCCTATTTAGCCTCCTGAGTGCGTGGATCATAGGTGGGCACTACTGTGCCCAGTCAACTCAGACCTTTTAATTGTCTTTCATATGTCTAATGTTTTATATGTGTGACCTAGTCATAGCGTTGGCATCAGTGTTCTGTCTGTCCTAACATCCGTGTCACTGCTGAGTCCATTTCAAATGATCCTGGCATCTCATTTTGATAGATTCATTTATTGATAATTCATTTTTGATGCTGGCCTTACACATACAGGCAAGTGTATTATCACTGAGACAACCTTTTCTCATCTGCTTTGTCAAATTATTCATCTCCTTCATTGAACTGTTTTCCTATTTCATTATATGTCTTGTAACATATGGTTGGATGCGGAGCATTGTGCCTTCTGTCTTGCTGGTGCTGGATGCTTTTGTATTCCTCTAAATACTCTTCAGCCTTCTGGGATGTGGGTGAGTGCTTACAGCCTCTCTGACCCTTTGGCCTTAGCTGTCTTGGTTTCAGGCTTTCAAGCTGTATCCGCAATCAGGGAGTCTACTAGACTCTGTCCCAATTTCTCCTCTCTGCCCAGAGACCTGAAAAGTTTCTCTAGGTAGTGAGTAGTGAGCTGGGCAATGGATGAACTCATCTCTTTCGTTTCTTCATCTTTCAGGGATCAATACCCTTCATAGCCCAGTGTCCAGTGTCTTATACATACATGCATACATGTATATATATGTATGTATGTATGTGTGTGCGTGCACGTGTGTTTTAGTTGATTTTTTCCTGAAGGAATGTTAAACCTGGCAGCTTCTCTATCTTGGGTAGAGCATTTCAAGCTTGTCCACACAGCGCTTTATATGTCCTAACTCATATAATGCCCAGAACACTAAGTCAGGAAGCCACTCTTGCCACTGTCATCTCAGAGATGGAAGAGATGGGGACACGAAGACTGAATGGCCTGTCCATGACGTCAGAGCTAGTTGGCAGCTCAGCTGGTTTATTCTGGGTTCCCTGGGTTGTGACTTGCTAAGTCACAGGTCAGCTGGGAATCAGGACAAGGGTTTCTTGCAGAAACAGTCAGGACTTGGGCTGTAGATTTCCATATGGGGAGACTGGTCAGAAAGTACTGCTAGAGGGAGCATATCCTAGCCTGTCTTGTGCTGCTAAAGGACTAAGAAACTTATAATGAACAGGACTAAGAAACTTATAATGGACAGGCACGTATTGGCTCATGTTTCTTGAGTCTGGGAACGCAGGACTGAGGGCTGTGTCTGGTAGGGTTTTCTCATGCGTCAGTCTAAAGTGGGAGGACATAGAGAGGGTGGAAGGGACCGCAAAGGGGGAGCTTTAATAAGGCTGCTCTCTTGCAATGACGTCAATAATCCACTCAGGAGGGCAGAGTCCTCAAGATCTAACCCCCTTCCACTAGGTCCTCTCTTTTCACACTGCTGCCCTGGGGACCACATTGGTGGCACAGTCCAATCACAGCAGAGAGGAATACAGGTTTCTGGAAGGTGTCAGGGGAGGTGAGAGGCAGCGGAGGCTGTGCTTAGGGCTTGGGAACTCAGAGGCATATTCTGTCTAGGTTAAGTTGGGGTCCTAAGTATGGCTGCAACACCCGACTCTGTATAGCAGTAGGAAATAACCTCAGGAGGACTCCTGGCTCCTGACTGAGATTATCCCCAGGTGTAAACTACACCGGATCCATTCCATGCTCTACTCGCTAAGCGCTACAGGAACTAGGCTGAAGATTTAAAAACAGACACAGACAGACGGGGCCACAGGGACATCCATGAGACAAGAATGCCAAGAATGCCCACTTTATTGTGCTCAGGGGCAGCTTCTACAGGGCTCTGGCCACGCCCCAGCGCTCGGGATCTTTCAGCTACAGACTCACCAGAACCCACTCCCCTGCCATCAGGGTCTCGTGCTCAGAGCAGCTGCAGGCTGCTCAGAGCAGAGGAAAACAGGTTGTTTACAAGAAATTCAGGGTCTGGTGGTCCGCAGTCCCCATCACCCATGTTGCAGGCGTTGCTTTGGCATGGTGACGTTGAGACTGAGAAGGTCACAGAGTCACAGGCTGATGCCTGTCTGAGGGCAGGAGGGTGGTACAAAGGCAAGGGGAGGGGCTGGTCCTGGAGAGGCAAGCCAGTTCATCCGGGTAAAGATACAGGCGCGTGAGGATGCAAATAACAGCGTGTGGCAAAGTGTGTGGATGTATGCACACATGTGTGAGAAAACGTGTGTTCGTTAGAGTGGAAAGGGAAGGTGTGAGTGTGGACGGGGCAGGAGAGGTGACCATGGGATGATGGAAGGCCAAAGGGACAGTAGAGCAGTGATCCTTGGGTTTCTGGGGATGACAAGGACGGTGGGAACTGGGGGGAGATGGGTAAAGTGGACGGACCTGGACAGGAGCTTTCGGGACGCGCTTTCTGGTGGGATGAACTGGACTGGAGAGCCATGGTAGAACTGGGAAGAACTGCCAGCACTTCAGTCTGAAGGGACAGGGGCTGTGGGAGGACAGAAGTGATCTGTTGGTCTCTTTGACTTATGGGAAGGAAGGAAAACATTTGTAGACCTCCCTTTTTAGGGTGTCTAGGAAAGACCAGTGTGCACCATTGTTTTTAATGGGTCTCCTGTCCCCAGGTGTAAGATCTCACCTATGTACACAGCTGGTATATCTTATGTCACGTGCATGTGAATGCTTGCTCAATTTCATGTGGGTACAAGTGTCCATCTCTCTCTCTCTCTCTCTCTGTGTGTGTGTGTGTGTGTGTGTGTAGGATCAAAATCCATCCAGTTCCTCAGCCCCCACCTGATTTTCTCTCTCATCCAGGCTGTGTGCTTCATTAGACTTCTGTGCCTCTCTGTGTCTTATTCTCCGTCTCTCTAGTCCTCTGAAATTGTTTTCTGACACACATATTCTCTCTCACAGGGCAGCCTCCTTCCCCTCCCTTTGCACAGCGCCTCGGCTCCAGGCTCCACCTCCATCTGCTTGCCCTGGCCTTCAACGTCCTGCTGCTGGTGGTCATCTGTGTGATTTCATCGCAAAGTGAGATCATGGCCTGGCCCTGGTGAGGCCAGGATAGAGAAGAGCTCTGGGGAGTGGCGGGGCACGGAAGGGGGCCAGGGGAGGAAAGGAGGCGAGGTGGAGGCAGTGTGGGGCAGATTCTGGGAACAGATGGGAATCAGTGGTGGTGAGATGATGGCTGTAGTGATGGGGGACACAGCCCCACACCCAGCTGGTCCCCAATGTCCCCTGACAAGGCATTCAGCTGCAATGGGAGCTGCGGACCCTGAAAGAAAGTTTCAACAACTTCTCCTCCAGCACCCTGATGGAGTTCGGTGCTCTGGATTCCCACGGTGAGCTGGGCGGGATGGCTGGGACTTTATCCATATGGATTGGCTGGGCATGGTGCTGGGTCTACAGTAGGAGCGTGTTTGTAGGCTGTGGGGATGAAAGCCAGGGCAGAGAATCCAGCCAAGGGAACAGACACGGCTTCTGGTGATACTGCCCTGACCTGAGGGACGGCGCAGGAGGTGACGTGGCTATTAGTTCTAGGCAGAGATAAAAAGAAGCCATGATGGCCAGGGGTGAAGAAGACCACTGTACATTTATGACAAGAGGTGGTGACTGACCGACAGTGGTGAGGGGTCAGAGATGGAGGGGCCAGGCCCACAGCAAGCTGTGTAGACTGGGTGGGGCTTGGCCTGAAAACATGGGGAACCAGTGAAGGAATTTAAGCAGCATAGGGGCCTCACTTGGGTGAGGCTGGGAGTCTAGGTTTAGATTAATAGCTTGTGGGACGAGGTAATAGATCCTCCGGGGTACCCAGGAATGTGCAGCCAGAGACGCATTCTGGAGGCAGACTGCTGGGGAACCCATTCAGCATTCCTCTTCCTCAGGTAGCAGAGATGACATACTGACATCCTGGGAAGCCAAACTGGAGAAGAAGCAGCAGGACCTGAAAGCAGGTCAGAGGTCACCCCAGCCCCCACTCCTGGGTCATGGTGATGTGTAGTGTGGTATGTATCTGTGTGTTTCCCCAGACAACAGCTGGAGCTCTGGGCCTGGTCTCGGCAGGTGTGGAGCCACGTGTCGGCCGCATCTCTGTCCATGTGTTTGTCCCTTAGATCACGCCACTTTGCTCCTGCACCTGAAGCACTTCCCTCTGGATCTGAAAATCCTGACCTGCCAGCTGGCGTTCCTCCAGAGCAATGGTAGGGTCGGGCGTGGCTCTGATTCTAGTGTGTCTGTCTCTTCCAGCTGGATCTCATTCCCTTCTGCACTTCTGTTCCCTCAGGCACAGAATGCTGTCCCGTGAACTGGGTGGACCACGGGGGCAGCTGCTACTGGTTTTCTCGGGGTGGGCTGACCTGGGATGAGGCAGACAAGTACTGCCAGCTGGAGAATGCCCACCTGGTGGTCATCAATTCCTGGGAAGAGCAGGTGAGCAAACTTGAAGGCAGACTTGATCAAGCAGCCTGGTCAAGGTTCTGTTATTTACTTATTGTTGTTGTTGTTACTAATCGAGTGTGTAGCCATGGCTTGCACTTGGGGTCATAAGATGACTTTGTGGAGTTGGTCCCCTCTCCTTCCTTTATGTAGGTTCTGGAGACTGAACTCAAGTCATCAGGTTTGCATTTATCTGTTGAGCCATCCTCCTGACCCTTGTGTTTCTTATTTATTTACTTAGCTTGTTTCCTTTTTTCTTCTTTCTCTATCCTTTTAGAATTTCTTACTTTTCTACACTGTGTTCCGATCTATTCTCCCTGCTCCTTGACTTTCCCTCCAAATTCTACCAGAACCACCGTATCACCTGTCCCTCCCAACTTCACACATTTTTTTTAAACCTAATGAGTCCAGTTGGTGCTTCTAGAATGATCATGGGTATAGGGCCCTCCGCTGGAGCATGGACATCCAACCAGGGGCTAAAGCCAGAGGTCGTGGAGGGCTGGTGTGAAAGTGTGTGTTTCTGGACGTGACAGGGCTGTTTCACACATGCGCATGCAGGGGCTCATGTGCAGGAGCTGTGGAGTAGTTGTGTGCACAAGAAAGAGCTGCACTAGACTAAGCCAACCCGAATCCCAGGATGGATGGGAGCCCCAGCCTGGCTGAGGGGCTGTTGGCAGTTGGCTGCTGAGGGAGACAGAGGCAGTTTTACCCTGGATGCATCTCTTGTTTTTAACCTAAGGAAGAATACAGAAGAGGGTGGCAGGACTCTGGGAGGCTCACAATGGAACAGTAACTGTCCTACAAGGTGGGAATGAGGGGCCAGGTGACCGAGTGATGCAGGGACAGTCACAGGACAGAATCTTGGGAGTCAATCAAGAAGGTCTGAGAGTCCCCTCTTGCTGTGTTGGCAGTTGGGTGTGGAAAAGGAACACACTGGGAAGACTTAAATTGCTCTCCTGCAGTGAGCCACTGGGTCCTCATTGACCATAAGTGTGTCCTGTGTTTTCCTTCCCCACTGCTGTCCTAAGACAGTAACCTGAAAACCACAGAGGGGAGCCAGTCTGGCAGAGAGGAGGACAGATTCGCATAAAGGAGGGCAGTGGTAGCCTTCGCTGCAGGACTTACTACGATTTGGACGTGTTCATGAGTTAATTTCTTTGATCCTCACGACCTCTTTAGGTGGGCACCCTTATCATTCCCACTTGGAGTTCAGGACACCAGGGGAGAGAGGTGAGGTGACTGTCTCAGAGCCAGCAAGCCATTGTGGAGTCAGAATTGGGACCCACTTGGCCTCATTGCTCAGTGTTCTCAGCCTGCTGCCTTAAGACTGAAGGGTCTGTGGGGGCTTTGTTCTGTTGGGACAATGCTAAGCAATTAAACCATTTGAATACAGAAGTCAGAATGGAGTTATTGAGTATTTTCTGTTTGTCTGGCTATGTAAGGGATTCTCACAGTAATTTCAAACATATTTTGTGTTACTGATTAGATTGAAGTTGCTAGTATTTAATTTTGACATATGAAAACACCAATTTATTTGTAATTTAGCCTATGATTTGCATTCACTTGTAGCATGAATTCTAATTGGTCTTAATAAAAACCCAGAGTCAGCTGTAGGGGTTAAGGCTGAAGATCAGAGAAGCAGCAGCAGCCTCTAGAGAGACATTTTACCTCTACCAACGCTCAGACCGAAGGCGCGATCCTGTCCTCAGACTGCATCTTCAGACTGCATCTGTCTCCAACAAACCTCAGACTGCACTGAGCTCCTGTCTCCTCCCGCCTTATATTCCTCTCTCCGCCCAGCCATATCACTCCTGCCTCCACCTCTCTAGTGCTGGGATTAAAGGCATGGGATCCATCATTTCAGTTCCCATTATTTTGGGTATCTGGGTTCTAAATTAGTGGTTCTTGGCTTTGGGGAACAAATGTCAACCCCATGTCTCTTACTTTCAAAGTAAATACAATTGTCTTAAAAAAAAAATGACCCAATCAACGGTTTTGGGACATAAGGCTTCTAGGCTCAGCTCTTGGTGCACAATCCACAGCTGCTCATAGCTCATAGTGTGAACATTTGGCTTCAGCCTTGAGCTTGGGGGTTTTAATCACGTACATTTGTCTTAGTTATTCAGTTGCTTCGGTGATGGGAAGCATCAGGTAGCCACAGCGAGAACATTCTATCTCCAGGTCTCTTTGCCCCGTCCCTGTTGATATTTCTGAATCTGTGAAGCAGCCTCACCAGCCCTGGGTGGCTGCTTCTCCATGAACTGGACATACATGTAGCATTCTAGTCTTTATAGGCACTGCTGTCCCCGAGTCTGCTCTTGGATGAGCAACCTTGGTCTCTGGGAAGTGTGAGTGGAATTGGGCTTGTTTTTCTCCAAGCACAGTCCAGAGACTCTTCACACGCCATCAGATGGGATGATTCGAGTGTGTGCCGGGCAAGCTGACTCTGTTTATTTTATAGAACCAGGTGACTATACATCTCCTACATACATAAACGATGGATTTAAATTCCCAGAGCAGCCACATTTGTAAGAGCAAGCCCCTTGGAAAGGTTTTAGTCCTAGAAAGCTATGTGTAAGAGCAGGGACCTTGGCACAGAAGCTTGTGACATTCCCCTAATTGGGAAATTGCCTTTACCAACGCATCTTCCTATTTCCGATAGAGACTGTCAGGCTCCATGTAGTCAGGTCAAAATGTTATTCTGGGCAGTGAGCCCAAGGTTGGAAGTGCTGATGTCTGCAAACCTCAGGAAATGACATCAAAATCACAGCAAGAGACCTAGGGACCAACGGAGAGAAGAATGAAACCAAGGTGCTTCTTGGGTATTGGGATTTGTGGGACAGCATGGGCAGGGTCACCAAGACTCTGGTGCAGAAGATGAGAAGCTCGGTGTTGCTATAGCAACGGTTCTAGGAATGGAGTGGGAAGTGGGTGCAGGCTGGAAACAGTGGTTGTCACAGCTAGATGCCGGGTAGACTTTGAGTTCCAATAACACCTTCTGAGGTGAGAGTTACTTTGGCGCCCACCTTGGAGAGCCACTAAGGCTCAAATGAGATGATCCTCACAAAACGCTCGGTATGAAGTCAGGCCCTGCGAACCCCATTTAACACTAGCTGTGCTCACAGAGGGAAGAGGGAGGGTGTAGCTGTTGGGAACTGAGGGCATTGGGGCAGGTTAGGCTGGGGGGGGGAGGTCACTTGAATGCTCGCATAGATGAGGGGTAAAGTGATTTCCTCTCCTAATTGTTTTTCCAGAAGTTCGTTGCAAAGCACATTGGCTCGTTTCACACTTGGATAGGTCTCACTGACAAGGACGGCTCGTGGAGATGGTCAGATGGAACCGATTACAGGAGCAACTACAAGTCAGTCCCTCCCAGCGGGCATCTCCTTGTTTGCGTCAGGGATGACCACCTGGCCTTTCACCTCATGCACTCCCATAGGTCCCTCGGGGTCAATTTCCCCAACCTTCTGCCCCCCATTTCCAAGCCTGCACATTTTCAGCCCTTGAACCCTCCCAAGGCTGGGATGTTTTGGGTGAGAGATAGGGTTTTAGGTGGGTCAGAACCCTCCCACGGTTAGACCCTGAGTTTTCTGTGACTGACCTTCTTAGGAACTGGGCCTTCTCTGAGCCCAACAACTGGGAGGGCCACGAGCAGGGCAGCACTGAAGACTGCGCCGAGATCTTGACAGACGGTCACTGGAATGACAACCTCTGCCTTCAGCTGAACCGCTGGGTGTGTGAAAAGAGGCGCAATATCACCGGCTAGGAGCCTGCTCTTGCCAAGTCTCCCTTGTCTCCTCTGCACCCCCCACTGCATCACCCCAACTTCGCCGGTGGTGATACTGAAGCAAGGGAGAGAAACAGAGTCCAGCATGAGGAGGAGTTATGGGGAAATGGGAAGAGGGTGTCTTCATTGTCCCCACTCTGGGAAGGGAGAGAGTCCATCGCTCTCGGCCATCACTGCGGTTCTCAATGTCAGCCTTCGGAACGGAGTAGGAGCAACAACAAGATGATACTTGAGAGTCACGTGGTCTGGTTATTTGGGATGGGGGCGAAAGAGAGGGAGTTGGGAGGGTCTGGAGGAAGAAAGGTGTGAGTCCCCAAGACCATTCTGTGATACACTGATGTTCAGAGCGAGGGAGGAAAGAGGCGTGAAGCAACCCCGGTGGCTAGCGTCGAGATGGTTGGAGCTGTTGCTGGAACCTCAGAGATTCCTTGAAGAAGAGAGTTCTCTAAATTCAAGGTCTCCCCTAACTTGAGTTGTTAGGCAATGCCCTCACTCTAATCCTAGCCCCTGGTGAAGACAGACAGAAAGACTGATTCCCTTCCTCATTCCACTTTGCCCCAGAGTTAACCACTTCCAGGGTGCCCTGTTGGTGTGTTTCCTGTCTACCCACAAATACAATGCTACATAGAATCAAACTCCACTGCCACCACACTTTGCAACATTTGTGATCTTTCTTCTAATAGATGACAATACCTGAGAGGTGTTTGCTTCGTTGACTGTAGCAGCTGTAGAGAAATTTGAGGTATGAATGTTCCCGGCCTTACTGAATTATTCACTACAGTAGGTAAAGACTTGGCATTTGTATTTGTCTTTACAGTGTTGGAAGCATCTGATGAGTCAGGAGTTTCCAATGCTTGGTTACAAGTTCTCAGTGACCATTCCCTTAAATTAACATAGTTTGCATCAATTTTTCAAGATACTGGAAACCAGGAAACTTCAATTTAGACAGCCATCTCTGGTCACAGGCAGGGAAAGTCCCTTTCCTGTGACCTTGCCATCGGCAGCCCATGTGGCCTCTAGTCCTGTTCTCAGAGTCTTCATTTTGTGACCATCTGTGTTCCTCCCAGCAGTCTCAGCTCAGACCCCAGGATTGCCTATTCCGTCCTGCAGCCTGAGCTTTTCCCAGCCTAGTTTCTCCAAATGCTTTCAAATTCCTTCTACAAACTGCTTCACACGCTTAAGAGGCACGTTGCGGACGGCTGCAGCGTCAGCCCCTCCTCCTCGGTGCTGCTTGTCTTCATCAGTTGGCTCTTTCTGCCTTGACAAATACCCAAGAGAAAAATCTAAGGGAAGATAGAAACTATCTCAGACCATAGCCTTGGCTTCACTGACCAGTAAGGTGGAACCAAGGTGGCTGAGTGCTGAGTGCGTGTGTGGCAAAGAGACAGAACTGAGAAGAAAACACAACCCGAGGCTATACACCATGACTTTGTTCCTCCAGCTAGGTTCTGCCTCTGACAGTTTCCTGGGATCCTCCCAAAACAATGCCACTTGTTAGGGACCAGATGTTCAACATATGAGTCTGGGGGGTAATTATGAGACTTGGAGATAAGTGAACTAGTGTCTCTCAGTCCGAGACAGGGCACTGATGACAGCCAAAGGAAGGATTCCACCCAAGTCTAACTTAGGGAATCATTGAGCTTACTGGGGTTCCTTGAAGGGGCATGGTTGACATATAGAGAGCTGTGTCACCAAAAAGCTCCACCCCAGCATGGATATGGGCTCACATAAGCAGCATTCCTAGGGCTCCCTACACACATTTCAGGGGTTTGGCCTCCTGTCCTCTCCTCCAGCTATTGTTGCCGGTTTTATTACCTTTGAGAAGTGGCCCAGTGAGCTGTAAGTCATACAGACTTCCTGTACCTTCAGAAGTGGCCCAGTGAGCCGCGTAAGTCATGCAGACTTCCCGAGTCTTCTTCGGTTTCTGGGGAAATAGTCACACATTCCTCTAGGAAATATTTTATACCCGTACTGCCAATAATATGCCATTCCTAGAGACAAAAGTATGGAGGCAGTGGCTTTGCATCAGTGTGCATTGTCAACACCCACAGAAGAAAAAGTAAAATCCAACGCAAATTATGGAGTCAGTCAATTATAGCGGATCAGTATTGGCTTCCCACTGTAACAAAGAACCGCTAACGTAGGATTTAAAAAAAGCAGACAAATAAAGGAAAAGTAAAAATAAACACATGTTGTTTTTAACAAAATCTCAGTTGTTCGATTTTTACCAATAAAGACTCGGGAGCAGATGCTGGGGTGAAAACCTACTAGCTCAGAGAGGCAAAGGAAGCACCTGACTGACCTTCCTCTCCTGCTGACATCCCAGAAAGGGAGCTTTATCCTATGCTGTCTCAAACAAAACTTCTCAAACTAAGTGTCCTTTCCTTCTACCTCCTGTGTATCTCTATAGCCATTCTCTTCTTATTCTCTAAGTTTTTTCTTTTTCAATTGGTTGCTTGTTCCACCTTTTAATGTATGATTGACTTTATTTAATTCTGTTTACAATATTCAAGCAGAAAGCTCTTGGATTAGGTGTGTGCTAGGGCTGAGTCACACCATAATTAGAAACAGGTTTTTCTGGTAAATAACACAATATCACGGTTCACAGTGTGACCAAATATACTGTACCATACAGTTTCCTAGTCTTTAAATTCGAGTTTTAATTTTGTTATGTGGGTGAGTGTTCAGCCAGCTTGTTTGACTCTGCAGACATGTATGCAATGCCTGAGGACAGGTGTCAGATCCCCTAGAATTGGGGTTACAGAGGTTATTAGACACCACGTGGGTGCTGGGAATCAAACCCAAGTCATCTGGAAGAGCAACCAGTGCATTTAACCACTGAGCCACCTCTCCAGCCCCATATGAGAATTTAAGTAGAAGCATCTTCTGGGGTTAGTGATAGGACACTTGATCAGGTAAAACTGCTTCTGGTAGCTGGGCCTGGTGCCTCAGGCCAGTAATCCTAGCTTTGGGGATGCTGAAGTAGAAACATTGCTTGGCTTCACGACCCCCCCCCCCCCCGGGCTACATAGTGAGTTTTGATCAGTTCTGGACTATAAGGTGAGACTGTCTCAAACACACACACACACACACACACTTTCCTAAAAGATGAACAATTTGTGAGAGCCAATATCTTCTAGCATCATCAGCAACAAAGTCATTTGTACATGCTATTGGAAGGAAGCAAAACAAAACCTTTAAAAAAATGCTTAGTTCTTATTTTTGTGTATTTGTGTAAATTTTTTTAAATGTAAAACTGAAGTTAATTTATTTAGGACTGGAAATCTGAACATACACAAAAATATATACATACATGTGTGTAAATTTTGTGCATGAGAATGTAGGTATTTGCAGAGGCCAGAAGAGGGCATGAGAGTCCTTGGATCTGGAGTTACTGGCAGTTGGGAGCTGACTGATATGGGTGTTGGGAACTGAATTCTGTAGCACAAATAATAAAAACCCAGAGACAGATATTGGGGTTCAAGCTGAAGATCAGAAAAGCAAAGCAGTCAACCACTAGAGAGACCTTTAACCTCTAGCGGATCTTCAGACTAAATGGGCAAGACCCTGTCTCCATGAATCCTCAGACTCCACATTCCAGTGAGTTCCTGTCTCTTCCCCTTTATATTCCTCTCTTCATCCAGTCATATTGCTCCTGTCTCCACCTCCATAGTGCTGGAATTACCCTGGAATTAAAGGTGTATACTACCACCCCTGGCCTCTAGTGGCTTAACTTTACATTCTGGTCTTCAGGCAAGCTTTATTTATTAAAATACAAATAAAATATCACTATATTTCTCCTTTTTGTCTAAAATAAAAAAGCTATAACTAATATAAAAAACTATATACAATAAGTATAATAGCTATATACAATATATATAGGTAATAAGTTCATCAGCAATGTCTAGTCCATTTGCATTTGACAAATTCAGAAAAAAATATTTCATTATCTATTCTATCTTTGTGATTCCAAACTCTTGTACCTAATTTATTTTCTATTGTAACTTGCTTTCTGTGTCTGGTAAGCTAAAAAACTATAAGTATCTAGTCTTCAACTTCCAAAGAGACCCAAGAAGGAAATAATATTAACTGAGGAATCAGGAAGTGACTTCCAAAAAATGTGAGAAATGACAGAAACAGGTCACTCAAAGTCCCTCTGCAACATTGAGGCATCTGTCTTTGGCCTACAGGCTCAGCATATCCGACAGACTTTTCTGTGAAACAGGATATTCTGAAAGTCTGTACCTCCTTGTCTTGACAATGTTTGGCAGTCATTTCTCTTTGTCTTGCTTGCTTAATTAGGACAGCATACTGTGAGCAGTCAAGGCAAGTGCTGTAACTAAAAAAGTGGTGTGAGGGAGAAAGACACCATGAGACAGAGCTCAGGTGGACAGGTTTTTTATTGGGGAAGGTGAATGGGAAAAAGGAGGAGGGGAAAAGGGAGACTGACCTCTGGGGACAGGCGCATCAGAAGAGAAGAGAGAGGCAGAGGGGGGGGGCAGGTAGAGAAGCAGAAAGAGAGAGAGAAAGGAAGAGTTGAGAGGTGGTCAAGGCAACATTTTAAAAGGGAACATAGTGAATGTGCACAGGAGGTGCTCTTAGTGGCTGTAGCTGAGGACACATTCTGTCAGGACCTCAAGGGTAGACCAGTACAGATGCCTGAATACTAACAGCAAGAGCACTTTCTTGTCCAGTGGCTTACTTTGACACAAAGAAAATAAACTCTCTGTGGAATTTCTTTGATGCACATCATCTTCTCTGAAGTAGATTGGTTCTTGCTCGGTAACTATTTGTTATATGTAATTTTGCTATGTTAAAGTTAAAACCTTCCTTTTTACTTACATAGAAAATGGGATATTGTGTGGGAAGTCTTTCTGTAGATGTGTTGATTTTATTGGTTAATGAATCAAGCAACTGCCTTGGCCTGTGATAGGGTAGAGTAGAGCTAGGTGGGGAAAACTAAACCGAATGCTGGGAGAAAGAAGACAGAGTTGCAGAGATGCCATGGAGCCACCAGAGGAGAAAGATGCAAGCTGCCAGCTAGAATCTTGCCAGTAGGCCATGAGCCTCATGGTAAAATATAAAATAATGGAAATGAATTAATTCTAGATGTAAAAGCTAGCCAATAAGAAGCTAAAGCTAGTAGGCCAAGAAGTGATTTAACTAATACAGTTTCTGTGTGATTATTTCAGGTGTGAGTGGCTGGAAAACAAATGGAAATGGGTTAATTCTAGA